TGCACTGCTAAATTAGGGACGGCTAGCGCAGATAGCCCTCGTGTAGCTTTGCGAGTAATTCGAAACAAACAAACAAACTATCTGTGCTGATTAGAATGTAACACGAACAATATAATTACTTTCTGCTTCCGTGTTAACCCCAACTATTAGTTATTTAATTTTTTATTTTTTTTTGCCTAATCTGTTTAGGATTTAGGATTGTTATTCATTCTTATGCGGATATATATCTATTATGATAATACTCAATTTTGTCTGTCCTGAAAATATGCGCGCCATCTTTACTATTTTAATGCGCATGTGCGCGCACTTCACTTGAACGGATGTAAATATGCTTTAATGTATTTAAAAACAACATATTAAAAGCTTATCAAAGTTTTTAAAAAGGTCTAACGTTACGTCGTACAATGAAATTAGAATATTAACTATTGATAGTATTAAGTGCGGTTAGGTTTAGCCCTAACTGAACTAAAGCAAAAAATACAGAAGTTACTGATATCTATTGAATATAGGCCGTACTTAATAAAGGCTTAACTAATGTTAGGCCTAAGACAAGCTGACTTATAGAGTTCGTTGTTCGCGATTAGAATTATTTTGTATTATTCTAGAAGTCCCGTATTTAAAGAAGTACTGTTACAATAAAGATGCTAATTTGACCACAAATATTTTGCTGGTCTCTGCTAGTACAATACTGTTTTTTTTAAATTACTTTAAAATACAGTCATCCTTAAAATCACACTGTGAAGTTACAGGATTACCTTATTATCTATATTTAAGACAAAGCTGCTAAGACTATCTGTCACCGTCCCTAATTATTAACTATTCACTAGAGGGCAGGCTAATCAACATTATGACTCACCCACAGCGTTATCAACTATTCATCAGAGGGAAGGATAATCAACATTATGACTCACCCACAGCTTTATCTTTGAGGGTGAAGAGGAGAAGTTTTCTGAACATCCCCAGTTGCGTTTAATCCTAAACTCTCAGTTTGTGATTAAACGTCTTAAATCAAAATTACTATCATGTTCTGATGATGATGAAGTGCGGGGAATATTTTGTGGTATTGCATGGATTCGGAACCGACTGCCAGCTCTGAAATCCGTAGTTTTGCCAAACATTATCTTAGTTTGTTCATTTACTCTTTCAGTGCTATGTTTATAGACAACTCTCCCAGCGCCAGCCTTATATTTAGAAACACGCGGAAGCACGTGTGGCGTTGTATAATTACTTGTATCTTGCTAGTTAGTTGTGGGATCATGACATTTTTGGAGATAATTACCTAAAATATTTTACACAAATGTTTGTTCCCAGATTAGTAAAAAAAAAAAAAAAAAGTAATTCGGTAATGTGATTTTATATATACACTTATTTCTAACATTGCAAGTTGCTGTGTAACATTTAATTAATTGTATATTTATTAGTTTGCTTAATTTCTCAGGACACTTAATGAATATCACAATTTTTAAAGGTTGTTTAATGTGTCCCATTTATGTGGTTGTAGCATTGCCTTGCAGGAAGATACGCACGTGCCACTGGCAGTGACAGAGTTAATTGAAATTTGGATTCATAAGAGTAAAAACTCAAGAGAAATATGTATTACTTGACAAAATTTAAAACGATCGTACAAACCGTGTCATAATTTGGTTTGAATTTCGCGCAAAGCTACACGAGGGCTATCTACGCTAGCCGTCCCTAATTTAGCAGTGCAAGACTAGAGGGAA